AACGTGCATTTCAAGGGATTCAGCTTCATTTGGGCTCGACGCAAGTTTTGAAAAGTTTCATCCAGGTCGTCAATGTGATCCTCAGCTCGCACGCTGGTGACTATCATATCATCTACATACACTTCTATGTTTCTGCCGATCTGGAGCTTAAAGATGATTTGTACCAGCTTCTGGTACGTTGCTCCAGCATTTTTGAGGCCAAACGGCATCATGACATAGCAGTATATTGCGTCACCAGCGTAAAAAGCTGTTTTTTCCTGGTCGTCTAACAACAACTGGACCTGGTGGTAACCCGAGCTGGCGTTTAGAAAACTCATCCGTTTGTGCCCAGCTGGCCGTTCTACCAACTTCTCGACGTTTGGCAACGGATGAGAGTCTTTTGGACATGCGTCATTGAGGTTGTTGAAATCAATACACATCCTCCACTTGCCATTTGACTTTTTGACGAGCACAGGGTTGGACACCCATTCGGAGTATTCCACTCTCCTGATGAAGCCTGCCTGTAACAGCTTTTGTATCTCTTCATCTATGACAGCTTGCTTCTCGGGGCCAAAAAGGCGGCGTTTTTGCACCACCGGCCTTCTGGTGGGGTCTGTGCTAAGCTTGTGGACTATCAATTCTATTGGGACGCCAGGCATTTCATCCGTAGTCCATGCAAACACATCCTGATTATTCCTCAGAAATTCTAGAAGTTCCGCCTGCTCTTCCTCTGTGAGTTTAGTGCCGATCTTTACTGTTCTCTCCGGCACATCCGGGTTTAAAGGCACCGTTTCCACTGGCTCTACTGGCTCTACCTTCTGCTCAACGCTCTCAGGTCGATGCTCAATGTCTGATATACTCATTGTTTGTTGACCGAGCTGGGTTGGCTTGCAACCTTCAGCACTTGCCGGGGCTGCAGCGAGCTCGACCTTCTTGAACGTGTCTTGATAACAGGTTCTAGCCATCTTTTGATTCCCCTTCAACACTCCTACCCCCTGGGGAGTTGGGAATTTCATACAGAGATGGGGCTGTGAGATAACAGCCTTCAGCTCGCACAGGGTGGCTCTTCCTAATATAGCATTGAAAGATGATTCCATCTTAATGACCAGGAAGGTGATAGAAGCCATTCTGAAGCGGGGTTCCAAGCCCACATATCTAGGAAGAGTAATAACTCCCTCAACCGGGACGGGCTGGTTATCGAACCCATATATTGGGCCTTTGTGCTTCTGCAGCGAGCTCGGATTTAGCTGCATCTTCTGGAAGCAACTCCAATACAGGATATCTGGTGAACTGCCAGTGTCAATGAACACTTTATTGACATTATGATTGCCTATATGAACCGTTGCCACAAAGGGATCTGCATGGGGCATCATAATGTCAGGCTCTCCTTCTGCTCGCTTGTAATCTGCTGAGCTGAATGTGATAGGCATATTCTCCCATTCTGCTTCCTCAAATGGCCGCTTCAAGGGTCTATTTTTGTTGACGGTCATCACCTATCGGGCATATGCCTTGCGAGCTCGGGCACTTTAGCCCCCAGAATGCACACCACCTGATATCATGTTTATTATACCCGAAGGCGGGGGTATCCCAACATAGCCTATCCCTTTCTTATCCTTTTGGTTCTAGGAAGTAGCCCTCTGCCCCTGTCCTCTCCTGTTGAACGGGCGCCCCTTGTACGCCCTGCCCTGCTTCGAAGGATATGTATTGTCCTGATATACATCCTGCGCCATGCCGAGCTGGTACCTCTGCCCCTGAGGTCGGCCATACCCCTGTACAAAATGAGTTTGAGTGGGTTGCTCGGTGTGGGGCTTCTGAACATATCCTTCTAATTTCCCATTGTGAGCCAGGAACTCTAGCTCGTCCTTCAGATGTTGGCAGTCTTCTATGTTGTGATCGTAAGTACGATGATAGTCACAATGCTTGCTCTTGTCTACCCTTGGGGACTCATACAGTGGGGGTGGGGGCCTTCTAACCCAATGATGTATTTGCGCCAGGATTTGGGACCTGGGCAAGGTTAAAGGAATGTAGTTGGCATACTTGGGGAAGTTAGTGGGCTTCCCCCACTGTTCGCTAACTTTCTGTTTCTTCTTCTCTTCCCTTCTCAGTGGCTGTTCCTGGCTTTTGCTCTGCTTATCATCAACTCGTCGCTTGGACGACTGGAAGTCTTCTGATAATATGAAGCTAGCCGACCTGTCATTCACTTCGTTCCAAGTCCTCGGTGGGTTTTCTAGGAGGTCGTCTAGGAACCTGCCACGTTTCAAACCATGTAGCAAGGCGGACAGGAAGATGGTATCTGGGACGTTATCAATGTCCAACGTGGCTTTGTTGAATCGCTGCATGTAGTCCCTCAAAGATTCCCCTTCTTTTTGATTAACTTGCATTAGCTCGGTTGCTGTGCGTTTGATCTCCCTCTGGCTCACGAATTTGTTAGAAAATAGCTTGGCGAGCTAGGAGTACGAGTCTATGAATGTCTGGGGAGCTTGTGATACCATCTCCTGGCTGTTGATTTCAGTGTCGCTAGGAACACTTTGCACATCATGGCATCATTGGCATTTTGGATTCTTATGATGGCTTGATAGGTGTGCAGATGTTCATCTGGGTCACCCGAGCCATCATATGTCTCCAGGTGGGGAATCTTGAATCCCTCTTGATATGGTTCTACTGTGATGGATAAGTTCAATGGAGCACTATCCAAATCAAGGGTTTGTTGGTGCGACCTGGGACTTTTCAGCTCGTCAATGGACTTCTGTACGTCCCGCAGCTGCCTTTCAAGGTCTGCGTTTTTTCTCATTAATTCTTCACTATGCTTGGACGAGCTGGGCTCGTTATTCAACTTCCCACTTCCCCTTGGCCTGGTCGGCACCACTACGTTGCTTAGAGCAGGGGAGTTTCGAGTTGCAACAACCGTACCTGGTTGTGCATCCCTGTTCAACAAACGAATCAGGGGGTCATCCGGAATCAGGCGGGCAAGGATTTTACCCATTGCAATTTCCAGAATTCTGGTTCTCTCTTCGAGCTCGATTGTCCGATCAGGTTCCGTTGACCTTTCAGGTCGTTCACGCTGTGAATTGTATGGTCTAGGAGGTTTTGATCTTGTTCCTGTTGGAATTTGAAACTGTTCAGGCTGGGTTGCATACCCCGTTGGTGTTCTTTCGTCATCATCCGATTCGCTTAGGTGATCCTGTTCTGCTCCCCCGATGAAAAAGTTTCTTGGCATCAGCCTAAAGTCATTCATGCCGGGCTCAGATACTTGGGCGTCCTCCTGTTCGTCCATCTCATTCCTTGGAGGGCGACCTCCTGTAAAAGTACGGACCATTTTGTCTTTCAGCAGGTTAAGTCACACAACTTCTTGTTCGAAGTTCCCACAGACGACGCCAAATGTTTGGGCAGCTTCACGGTCCAACACTGTTGAAGTCCTTAACTGCTTCCACACCTGAAAATCCCGAGGTTGTTTCCTCGGGAAAAACACTCCGACGCTCAAGTCAGCAATACTCAATATTCTAGAGAGAGATTCTCTCAAGGAATAATTGCAGAGAGAGAAACGTAGAGATTAATTACCTCTCGGAGGTAGTTGGGGGGTATTTATAGCCCCTCTGCACGTGTGAGCACCCCTTTGGCCCACGTGGCGCTGGTCACACGGGTATGCATGCTTGTACTGATGCTCCTTCAGCTTGGGCTAATGGATGGTAACCTAGGCTCGTTATGCATAGCCCTGTTTGGGTGTTGGGCCTGTTGGGCCTATTCCAACACAAACTATAAAAACAGCTTCTATCAATTTTAGACATGAGCTGCAATTGCAGGAAAAGAAGTGATTCTGTATTTGCTAAAGATTAGATGCTCTTTAACTTGCTTATTTTACTCATACCTGACTTCTAATGGGAAAAAACCATGTATGATTGAAGTCTCGACTTTTGTTTTTGATCTATTTTTTACAAGCTGTTGAAGTAGCTCCTTCTTTGACCCATAGACGTCCAGGTTGTAGAAGCATGATATCTGTTCTCCAAATGGGAAATACAATGATCGACAATTTAACTACTTAACCAATATTTCCTGAAGGTGATTTACTCCTTATTAAATAGCTTTTTTATCTCTATTTCTCGATAAGAGGTATTGTTAAACTGATATTGGATAATTATTTATTTGATTTTTTAGGGACTATGAAAAAGGCACCTGTTAATCCTATCGGGGAACAATATTCCGTGTTTGAAAATGTTGAATCCCTTTCAGTGAACTGTGAACTTAAACAGCATAGTAGCTAAGCAGCTGTTTTCCACAAAAAGTAAACATTTGTTTACTAAAACTTAGATGCTATTTAACTTAACTTTTATATTCTTTTATTCATATTCTTCTTTTAGACCAAGTTTCAGTTTTTTATTTTCTCTTTACAGTTCATGTAGTCTCAGTCTTCCTTATTTACTTAGTCTAGACTGTCACTGAGAAGGAAATTGGTGGAGGAGTTCAGTGGTGCCAGGGAGTGTTCTAACGTCCAACTACAAGGTGTGAGAAAGAGATGGTGAGAAAGATTTAATAGCAAGAATATGTCTAAATTCTTCTTTCCCATGCTTTCCTCAATTTTCTATTAGATAAATCTTTCTCTATATTATTATGTCTTTTCATTTTGGTTTTTCAGCATGTTTCTCGACCTCTCTATTCTTCTTTATTATTTATTATTTATTATTTTTTAAACTTAGGACTTAGGAGATGATGATACGAGATGGGAAAAGATAAAGAGCAGAAGACAAGATTTAAATGTTAAGTTCGCCATTTACCATCTATTTTAGCAGATTGATGTTATAGCATTATGAAAAATGCATTTGCATGGTGTTTCTAGCATCTATAATGTGAAACTTATAGTAGCTCTTTAGCAAATTAGTTGGTTAGGTAGTTTACGAATTATGAGGTAAAATTACTTTTGGTTTCCTTAATTGAACCCAATCTTCTTTTATTCCCCTTTTTGGTTCTTGATTTAAGTGGATGATAATTGGCAAGAAATTGACTGGGAGATTAAATGAAGAAATGACCGGCTTACAAAATCAGGTTTGTTTGCTCATTTGGTTTGGGGGCCTCGATTAATCTTAAAGCTTTTCTTAGACTTTTGTATTTGTCCTTGCAGCTGGAAGAATGGAGGAATCATTTGAAAGGTTTTAGCACATACTAAGGATAACAAAAGGTAGAAAGGGGAAGAATTGAAAAGGACAGCTTGAAATAGCAATTTCCTCTCTAAACTAACCTTTTCCAGTTAGCTGTTGCTTCTTCTTCATTTCTTAAAAAATTATTTATTAGCTCTCTTTATGAGTGAATTATTTTTCTACACTAAAATTAATATCTGTTTATAGTTTTCCCAAGGAAAAAATCAACTAGAATATACAAAAGGTGAGTCCTCCAATTGTCCCATTTTGCCCTTTCACAATACCCACTCGAACTGGATTTTCTGTCTTTTCACGTGATTTTGCAAAGGAAAGTTACTGATGCTAGACCATTCATTGTCCTCACTCACAGATAACTGTTCATAGCCACTCATGGACTATTCATAGACTATTCATCTATTTAGTGGCATTTCATGTAAATCACTGTGCACTTTGCACCACCAGTGGGGAGTGGCTACAGCAGGATCAATGGTCCAAATCAGAAGTTCGAAAATCAATTGTCTTTCACAATTCCTGATTAACATTTCTATGTTCATAAATGGTTATTTTATTTGTATTGAATTGGTAATAGTAAGAATAAATTGATTATTTGTTTTCCAATTCCCTGTTTGTAGTTTGGATGTAATGAAAACATTTGATTTTTCTTTTTCATTTTCATAGATTTAAGGTAACTAATTTGGAGTTGGTTGTGGGTACAGTGTGTCTATCTCACATTTTCCCTCCTTTGAGTTGATATGGGCTACCTAAACAATATATTTTGCTTTCCTTCTTTTCATTTTTTCTTAACTTTTGTTTTCACCATATTTTTTTGTCCTTTTATTTTGAAGCTGTAAGGTACAATATGCTTTGTGCCTTATCTAGATGCTATAGTATATTACTATTTTAGTTGGTAAAGCTCAAGGGATAGAGAAGTCATTAAACTTCATAATAGGTACTTGCATCTTCTTAGTTCTATCTTCCTTGACTTTTTGTGGACTAATTTATGGTCTACATATTAGTTTGTTTTTTATGCAAAGATGGGGATATCAGTATGTTTTCTAGGATACTCAAAGAGCATCTTGGCAGGAGGGTGAATTATTCCATCCATTTTCCATTTTCTGATTCCATTTTGCACTGTTTTTTATGGATGCGTTGGAATTTTTTCATGGGTTTAGAGAGGTTTGACTTTTAGTTTTCTACTATATGATTTTTTAAGTTTTTCTAAAATTTTCTAGTACTATATGCATGCCAACATTTAAGCTATAATGCTTTTCGAAGTTCCAAATAAGTATATAAGTTTATGATGAATATTGGTGTAAAAATAAGTGAAATATGACAAGGCTTGATAAAATCTGGAAAAGCTACAACAAGGCTTACTTGCTTACTCATTCCATTCTAAAAGTTGACCTGAATGAGAATTTGACTCTTTTGGAGGTTTTTTTTGTTTTTTGTTTCTTATTCTAAAATTGATTGTTTCAATTAAATTCTCTGCACATGTGCATGTGCATTTATTATTAAATTCTGATTTTATATGGAACTTGCATGCACATTATCATGGTAGGTTTTTGTTTGAATCTAAGAAATCATGCTTTTTCGGACTCCATTGTAGTTGAGATGAAATGGGTTTTTGTTTTTACGTTTGTGGAGACCTTATCACATAGTTAGGTTTTTGTCTTTCAAGTACCAGCTTATTAATGGGTGCCTTTGTTATTTTCAAAATTTTTAGTTTCTCTTATTGTATGATATATTTGTTGTTCATGAAGTGCATGGGCATGGGGAAAAACTTTCACTAAAATAGGTGAAGGAGATTTAAAAATATTGTCTCCTTGATTTAGTCGTGTTTTAAACTTCTAAGTCTTCTAATGTCTTTTTGTGTTTTAATATTATGCCATTCAGACATTTTTTAAATCATGGTGTCTTTGTGTTTCCTATTTTGGTTTTGTTCACTCTTCCATGGTGGAGTTCAGAAAGAAAAGTGCCCAAAGATGAGGAAAGGAGCCCACTAGAGATTTAGCAACAAAGGTTTGAGATTGCATATTCAATATTTAGCTGTGACTAATGTTATGAATTTTAACATAATCCTTTTGCATGATTTCATAATAACACTGTCCTATTAAAGAAGCATATTAATTTATAAACATATTTTTAGGATTGTTTAAGAATATTGCCTACACATGATTTGAGCAGTGCGAAAACATAGAGGGCAGACAAACAGGAGAAAGGAAGAGAAAAGTGGTAGCAGGTCTAGCAAATCCATCGTTCTGAATTACATGTGTGCTTTGTTGTTTGGTAGATGGTTGAACTTTCTGATTGGTTCTGTCCTAGAAATGAAAATTTTTTTTTCCATAATTGAACTTAGAGAACAGTTAGAGTATCATGTTTTTGGGATAACTGAGGCAATCACCAAAGTTATGCTTTGTATTAAAATTAATTTCAAAGTGGTTGTATTAAAATTTTGAAAATATGGAAGCCAACAGGGGCAGAATGGAATCCAAGGCAGCTGGCATGCTAAAGAAACTGTAGACATGCCCATGATCATATGGATGGACAAAATCACTTTAGAGGGTATCGTCATGCATTTACCAAAAGGTCATGAGGATAAGGCTGTTTTGGTGTACAACCTGTTTCTAAAGTGTAATTATTTCTAAGAATTATTTGTTTTATATTTGCCCTTAATTATATGTGCAATTGATGGAATATGTGTAGGTGTAAGATAGATTTCATCTATCTTAAAACAAACTCCAAATGTTGTTGATTTGAAATAGATATTTAATAAATGCATGGCACAGTTTTCTAAGCTGTTGCACTAAACTTATTCTGATTATGGTCAATTTGTTTCTATATAGTTTAAAATTGGAGATTACTGTGATCTTGGATCTATGCATTATGGTTATTATTGTTTTACTAATCTCATAATTCATGTGTAAAATTGTTGGAATCTAAATGTACCAATGTACATAGAAGAGGTGCAGGTAGAGCTGAAATTTATAGTTTGATATTCTATTCTAATGCTCAAATGACTTTCAGTTTCAAGTGATCATGTTTTGCAGCCTTAAAGTCAATTCTAAGTCTCCAAGCAATGAGGGACCTTGATGGTTCCTTGAATATAATCTTATAATAGATTTTCTATTCAATTGTAGATCTTTAAAGACAAGGCTCAATCTAGATTGAAAAAGACTGCTGACAAGCGTTGTAGTAATGGAACCTTGGAGGTAACTTATTCTATCATCTTAGTACCTACTTATATCTGTTACCTAACACGTTACCATTTTCATACTACTGTGTCTATACTCTTTCTTACTTTATGTAAACATTGAGCTTTAATTTCAATGAACTACACATTTTAAATTTTCACCAACATAGGAAATTGGCATTCTTGAGAACTAAAACTTTTGTAGATATGTTGAAGGTGGAATAGGCTGAGTGTCAAAGGCTATTGGCAATACTGCCAAGGAAGCAAGGGCTCATATTGTAACAAGTGCAGAGTTATATTTGTTTGATTGTTATGAAAGCTATCACGGTAGCCATTTTTTTTCCATGATTAATCTAACATGGGTTCAAAATTGGAATTTGGAAGTGGTTTTTATCTTCATTTGACTGCCTAAGAAGCTAAATGTGTATTGGGTTGAATATCTATGAGAAATTGTATGGTGTTGAATCACTGCCCAACAAACAATTCAAATAGGAAAATTTAATGTTTTGTTTTGAATGGTATCTTGATTTGCTTATGTTGCTGTCTTGAATGCTGCAATAATTGTGAATAAACTGAGGGCTATAATTTGATATGTGGAGAAATACAAGTAAAGCAAGTTATTGCAGTTCCCAGTATGGCAACGCACTACTTATTGTACATGCTTAATCTCGCATGATATACCCAGCAGATATGAATTCACGTTTAATACATAATTGATATATGGTAAAGGTGTTTGCTAGCAAAAATTATTGTTCATGGTTATTATTGGAACCAATTGTTTGTATGGCAAGAAGAGTTCAAGTCCTTCTATTTGCAGTAAAGGACATGATGTTGAATCTCCATATTATCAATCTCTTCAGAACTGTAAAAGAGTAACATGTAGCCATAGATTGATTCCTATTGAAGCTAGAACAACTTGGCTTTCTAGAACAACAATGTAAGGCTCAGTCACAACAACCTTTTCTCTGTTGTTTTCTCTATCATATCTTTTTTGGATGAAACATATAAAAACCACTTCTTTGTAATATAAGACAGCTAACAAACAACATAATATACTATATTTTGTTAGGTGCATGATGATTCACCAGGTTAATATTTTGGAGTGATGCATAAATGATAGCTAATACTCTCCTGTGTTTATTAGGGTTCTATGGTAGTTTCATAAAGTCATACTTTTATTGCTAGGTAACAAAGGTTTCTTAGTCATTTGTTTTTTTGCCCTTTTCCCATGTAGCTTGCAGGTGGTCATTAATTGTTGAGTTCTGAGAAGGGAAAAGGCCATAAAGGTATAGACAAGACCGTTTCATCTATATTTCATGTTCATTGATTATTTATGTAATATATATTCATTTTGGGTTCAGAAAATGGTGTGTTCTCATTCATGCCGCTTCTAGGTATTCCAGTCAAGCTTTCTCATTTCAGCTATATGTAAGTATGGTTCTTTTTCTCGTTATTAGTAATCTTATAGAACAACCGTTTCCATTTTAATTTCTTTAGCAACCCTAATTGCATCGGTTGAGTTGATAGTAGTCACTATAGAGCCACAGTTATCTATCCATTAACGCTGCATGGTGGGATTAAGTTAATCGGTTCTGATGATTGGACACTTGCAAGTTAAGAAAAGAATCTCTGATTATTGCCAAAGGCTTGGGAGGAGCTTCTTCTTGATTCTCTCTACCCAACTGATGTTGTCAATACCGTGATCAAGGTAGGTGACTACAAGATCCCAAAATTCTCTGGCTCCGATGATACATTCGGAAGGATCCGTGGTTCACAGGGTGTCAAAGGCCTTTGTAAGTGTTTTGGCCCTGCCATGGCTTGAAATGTCCCAGCCAATGCAGCATGCTTCTTGGCGTATGAAGTGACAAACCTGATTTGTAAAAGGCAGCTATCATGAACGAATTTGAAAAGCTGGTTAACAAGTGGCCTTTCGAAGCTACTAAGCATCAAAAAGAGGAGGATAGGAAAGTGGGCTTTTAAAATGTTAATTATCTTTCTAAGATCCAGGCTTTGATAATTTTTTTGTAGTGATTTACTGTCTTTTGGCAGGTGATTTAGTTTATTGGTTTTGTCATAGTGTGATTTGATATGCATAAATGTTCTTTTATGGCTTATTATGAAAATTGTATGCGTAGCAAAAAAAAAATTGATAAAAAACACACACACACACACACAATGAAGGCAAAATTGCCATCATCAACAAAACTCATGCTGTGCTTAAATCTTTATGGCTTCTTATGGGTGCTTATTCTCTTTGCTGTGTGTAATAGTTTCTTAACTAAATTAGTTTTGTTTAGAGATAAAGAATGCTAAAAAAACAAGAGAAGGTGCTGGTTAAGGGGAAAAAAAATAAGGTGCTATGCTAAAAGGAAATTTTAAATCGATTCATTGTTTTTATTATATTCCATTGCAAGTTGAGTTTAATTTAATAACATTTTCTTTTGCTAATTGTTCTTCTTGTATATCATCCTCCTCTTGAGTTTTGAATGTGACCCTTGATTGTTTGATGGTTAACAATAGATTCCTACAAAAAAAAGAGTACCTATTGATTCATTAAGCTTTAGTGGTATTCTTTTTTTGATCAAACTCTTTTCACTGCTATTGTTTTTTAAAAAATTGTTATATTTTTAGCGAGGAGAGTTCAAAAAGGTAATGCATAAGCATATTTATGTCCTAAACTTCTAATATAAAGTTCCTAAACTAACATATGGTAGAAATTTGTATGTGTACTAGGCTTTGTCTGCATTTTTTGCTCTTTAAAGTTTCAAATGGTAAAGGTTAGTCTACTTCTTTCCTAAATCCTCTAAACCAAGAGATGTGAACTCAACCTGTTCTTAAGCTATGGATTTTTACCTTCTGTGCAGTTCATGTCATGTTTCATGTTTTGATCTCAATTTTTTCAAATGATTAAATTTAGTACACACTTTCTGCTGCTGACCTCCGAGACCCAGATTTCTTCACTTATATCAACTAAAATGAGAGAGTTCCAGTCTGGAGATAAGAGGTCCCAAAAATATCGTCTTTAGCAAAGATTGAGGTATGGATATGGTAATTTTAAATTGTGCTGATTTATTTTCCTTTTATTGGATTCAATTTGAAAGGCAAGTAATTCAATGTGTTGATTTACTTATTTCCAGGGCCTGGCTTAGTCTGGCCAAGAAGTTGCTTTCCGCAGAAGATGCAAAAGAGTTTCAATTGGACACACTAGAAGAGGAAATCAGGTTGCTAGAGAAAGGAGCTGTCCGATGACCATCAAGGGATTGGTTTCTGCCACAATGATTTGCAGTATGGTAACATAATGATGGATAAAGAAACAAGAGCAAAATCCATAATTGTAAGTCATATTCATACATGACATCTGTACTTTTGCAAGCACCTTTTTTTGTGGTAACTTCTTTTTTTCAGTCATATGAAAAGGGCAACTTTAATTAGTTCATGTTTTGGACAATTCATGTTAGTTCACGTTGTTGGAAGTTCACATTACTGGAAAATATTTGCTAAACTGTGCATATGTTACACATTTTCTCTAAACTTTTTTTCTTTGATTTTCAAAGAGTCTTGAGTATCTTTTTTGTCTTTTACAAGCTTTAATTTTGATTCTCCCTATGAATCTATGTTTCTAAGATGGACCTATCTGTTCCCCTAGTCTCCTAATGCTCTCAAAGAGGGTTTAGAGTTCAAGCTCACTGGTAAGCCCTAACTTTTCCTTATCCATTTCACTTCTGATGTTTACAAAGTCTGTGAGATTTAATAGTTTCAAGTTGGTGAATTTGTCACTAATTGTGCTATCTTTGAGGGAATTTCGCAAATTTTGATGAGCATAAGTGTTTGAGACCTGGTCTTTTTGTGATTTCTTGCATGTTCTGTTTTGGGGATTTTGTTTTTATGAGGTTCAAAAGATACCCACCCAGGTGGGCAATTTTGGCTAATTATGCATTTTAGACTTTTGAGGGGGCCATTGTACTTGAGAATTGGTTGTTTTTTGAGCTTATTTTCCTCCTTGAATGTACTGTTTTCTTGAGTTTTAAGGTATCCATGTGATGACTGATTTTTTGAGTGTAAAAATTCTAAATATTTTTGGATAAATGAATAATATATAATCATTAATGGGATGAATGAATAAATAATTATTAAAATTCTAAATATTTTTGCCTATCAAAGCAGCCAAAATAAGCAAAGGAAAAGTAGAATGATTTCTTTCATAAATTCTTAGAAGCCATTAACAAAAGACTTAGAAAATACAACGCACCCATGGCTGTGTAATATGTTAAATTAAAATACTTTTATTATTAATCTATTTAGGCAAACAGATAATTATAGGGTTATTTCTAAGAATTTACCTATAACAACAGCCAAAATACTTCAAAGAATTTGCCGATCAAAACGGCCAAAATACCTCCACGAATTTGCCTATCTAAACAGCTAAATTAAGCAAAGGAAAAGTCAAATGATTTCTTTCATAAATTCTTGGAAGTCATTAACGAAAAAGTTGAGAAAATGCAATGCCGTTATGGTTGGGTAATCTGCTAAATTTACTGATCTATTTAGACAAACAGCTAATTATAGGGATACTTCCTAGAATTTACCTATCAAAACAGCCAAAGTATTTCCCAGAATTTACCTATCAAAACATTTCCAAGAATTTGCCTATCGAAACAGCCAAAATATTTCCAAGAATTTGCTTATGAAAACAGCCAAAATAAGCAAAGGAAAAGTCAAATGATTTCTTTCATAAATTCTGGGAAGTCAGTAACAAAAAAGTTGAGAAAATGCAATGCTGTTATGGTTGGGTAATCTGCTGAATTTACTTATCTATTTAGACAAACAGCTAGTTACAAGGATATTTCCAAGAATTTGCCTATCAAAACATTTCCAAGAATTTGCCGATCAAAACAGCCAAAATACCTCCACGAATTTGCCCATCTAAACAGCTAAAATAAGCAAAGGAAAAGTCAAATGATTTCTTTCATAAATTCTTGGAAGTCATTAACGAAAAAGTTGAGAAAATGCAATGCCGTTATGGTTGGGTAATCTACTAAATTTACTTATCTATTTAGACAAACAGCTAATTACAAGGATACTTCCAAAAGATATTATGAGGTTCAAAAGATACCCACCCAGGTGGGCAATTTTGGCTAATTATGCATTTTAGACTTTTGAGGGGGCCATTGTACTTGAGAATTGGTTGTTTTTTGAGCTTATTTTCCCCCTTGAATGTACTGTTTCTTGAGTTTTAAGCTACCCCATGTGGTGATTGATTTTTTGAGTGTATAAAAATTCTAAATATCTTTAGATAAATAAATAATATATAATCATTAATGGAATAAATGAATAAATAATTATTAAAATTCAAAATATTTTTGCCTATCAAAACAGCCAAAAAAAAGCAAAGGAAAAGTATGATAATTTCTTTCATAAATTTTTAGAAGTCATTAAGAAAAGAGTTGGAAAATACTGCGCACCCATGATTATGTAATAAGTTAAATTAAAATATTTTTATTATTAATCTATTTAAACAAACAGATAATTACATGGATACTTATAAGAATTTACTTATCAAAACAACCAAAATACTTCAAAGAATTTGCCCATCAAAACAGCCAAAATACCTCCACGAATTTGCTTATCTAAACAGCTAAAATAAGCAAAGGAAAAGTCAAATGATTTCTTTCATAAATTCTTGGAAGTCATTAACGAAAAAGTTGACAAAATGTATTTTACCTAGGGTTGTGTAATCTGATAATTAAAATACTTTTATTATTCATTTATTTAGACAAATAGATAAATACAGATCCAAAAGTCGTAAAAAAAATAATATCTTTATATTAACATTTACATAAAACAATTTTAATATTAATTTTATTTTTGGATAAGGATATTTAAGTTATTGCAAGAAAAAATATATAATAATGTATAAAAGTATTCAATAAGGATATTTAAATAATGTTATGTGTTTTTTTACCATTTTTTCTAGCATGTTGACTTAAAAAAGTATTTTTCTTTTTATTTCAAATCATTAAACTATATTCTATTCACTTATATATGCAATTAGTTGTATTTAATTATTTCACTTTTTAAATTAGTGTAATATGATTTAATTATTTTATTTTTTATTTTAATAAAGTATTGATGCTGATATTTTAATTTTATTATTTTCTTTAATGTGATAAAAATG